AGTTGATTCCGACTCATAGGGACCCTAGTTCTCCCGTATTCAGACATTTTCCCAAGGAAAGATAAGATTCCCTGGTGAGGCTTGGCAGCTTGGGAGCTACTTTCAGGGCTGCCTGAGGCTCAGCTTTTCCATGGCTCCTAACCAAAGCCAAACCTGTTGCATGGAGTCGATTCCGACTCATAGTGAGCCTAGGGTTTCCAAGGAACAGCTGGTGGATTCGAACTGCTGACCTTTTTGTTAGCAGCCGTAGCTCTTAACCACTGCGCCACCAGGGCTCCATGGCTCCCAGACACCCCCAGAACAATCAGCTCTAGGTGTGGTATTCAGGAGCAGGTTTAAAACTCATTCTTTGCCCTTTTGATATCCGTTATCTGACAATTTGCTGAGCGGTGGTGGGAAAGGGGGCGTGGGATCTGGATCTGTGACAGAGACAAAAAGATTATTCTTATTTTTTTACAATATTAAACATGCCTATTTTATAGTTACATTTGGATTGTTCTATTATTTCTAGTTCTTGGATGGTGTTAATTGTCCTATTTATTGCTTCCGTAACTCTCCCTCATGATAGTTTGTATTCACATGAGGTGTATAATTTTTTATAGTGAGCTCATCTTTAGCGAAGGATGTTTTTTTCGTGGGAGTCTCGTGTGTCCTGGATTGTAGAATGTCCCTATGGAGAAGGTTTGCTTTTGTTCCTGCTAGGACTTCTGAGTGGTTTATTATTCTGGACAAATTTTTATGAAAGTTCTTGACTTGGGGTTCCTGAAACATACTCATGGTATATAATATTTGGACTCTGAACCAGGGTGTGGCTCAGGTGACACTATTTTTCTGACTTGCTTCTCTAGGCCATTGGGATGAGTTTCTGTGTTTCTCTTTCATGGATCACTGTCCCATTCTGTTCCTGGCTTTATGCAGGGTAACTTAGTTCTAGCTTCCAGTTTCTCTTGGGCCCAAGGGTATGTCTCCTGTCTGGTATGTTACAGACCCAATGTCCACCCATTAGGGTCTCCCTCCAGTGTGATTCCCTCAAAGTCTCTCACAAACTGCCATGGCTTTGAGTTCTCTCTCTTTCTGGCAAGTGGAAAGTGAGGCTTGGCTGTAGTGACATTTTTGGTTGTTATATTTCATCCAGCTATGTTTTGGTAAGCTTAGCCTGCTTTGTTTCTGGACATCAGTTTCATTCCTCCATAACCTCTCTGGGACTAAAATGAGGTGGCAAAAATTACATTTGCACAAGCCTATGCCAGTGCTTGGTGGTGATGCCCACTAGAGGCCAGTGAAGCCCACTTGGTGCAGCAGCTCCAGGGGCTGCCGTGTCGCTCAACTTCTTGAGTGAGCAGGGAGAGCCGCTGCACAGTCACTGACTCCTTCCAGGGTAGAGAACCTACTGTCACCTTTAGGGTGGCCTTGCCCTATGCTCAGAAGCCTCTCCAAATGACTTGGGAATCCTGAAACTAGTTCTCACCTTCTCCTCCCTAATCAGCATCCCTGGCAGTGTTTCCCACGTTCCTTTATCGTTGAAGACCTGGCCAAGCACAGAAAGGGAGGGGTGGCGATATGGAGGTCTTGGTGAAGAGTGGCTGTCTTCTCCAACAGTGATGGGAGACTTTAAGGGATAGAGGCACCAGCACACAGTCAGAGCCAGAGATGTCATTGAGGAGGCCCTGACCCAGAGGTCCTTGGGACTTCCAAAGGGCTGATAGCCACTGCCTGCTGGGTCCTTTGGAGGGGTAAGAAGGTGATGGAAGATACCAGCCACAGCCAGCCAACCTGAGTGAGTGTGGGGCCAGAGTACGCCCGACCTACACTCTCCCCTAGCTGGTCCCTTTTTTTTTCCTGTCACTTAGGAGGCTCGGCTCCGTTCCAGACCAGCAGCCTAGAGCAGTGGGCTGGGGAGAAGAGATGCCGCTGAGCTCAAGCAGCCCAGTGGCGGAAGGGAAAGTGGGTGATAAATTTAAATAACCAGCTTGACTTGGCAGCTTGCTGAGTTGTGATGCAGTGAAATTAAAATCTAGGCAGAACCTAACAACTCCACCCAGAAAAATCAGCCTTTCTCCTTGGTTCCATGATGGAAGCTGGGGAGGGGAGGCTATCAGGCTGAGCCCCCAGCCTCTGGGAGCCACCCTAGCTTGTAATGTGATTAGCTGTGTCCTGGCCCACTGGGCGCCACCTTCCCCTGCACACAATAGTCCAGGCTCCTCTCTCTTCTCAGTTCTGACCTTGTGGAACAGCTGCATCAAGTGGCTGGTGAAGTTTGAAATCAGTCTCTGGTGTCAGGAGGTGGCAGGAATGTCAATAAGGTCTGGCTTTTCAGGGTGGAGTAAGGCTCTTCCTGGGCAAGGGTCCTCAGGACTCATCCCCTAAGGTTTGCAGCCTCAGCTGCCTGTCCTGGGGAAGATGAGCTGGGTGCCTGACACTTGGGTGATGAGGAGGGATCCTGAACACCTTGGTACGCCCAAGCCAGGCTGTGGGTACAGGGATGACCACACTGCTCTCTCATCCTCAGCATACACCTGGCCAGAATCACCTACGTGAAGGGGCCTCCCTTTTTCTTCCTCCACTAAAGCCCTTACTATTCTCCAAGAAAAAAATCTTTTAAAGAATCTTTGAGTGGAATTCCTACCATGGGTGTCTCCCATACCCCGGCCCAGCTTGGAGCCAAGTCTCACAGATGCTGACCTCTTTCTAGAAGAACTCACCAAAAGTCTACCTCCTGTGTCTACTCTCCTCGTGTATCAGGGCTCTCTGCTATCCACAGAGTCTTGGCCCTAAGGCCAACTGCTGGCCCCACTCCTGAGATAGCCCATGAAGCCTCTCGGCATTGCCCCGTTGCTCACCTTGACAGTACCTCCAGCAAATTCCATTTGTCCCCATAATAAACACATCATGAATCATTCATCTTTAATAGATTATGCAAATTAGGAGGACATAAAATCAACAAAGATCAATAACTGCAGCCATTTAATTGCCAGCAAAAACATTTTAAGAATGAGCATAATCTGCAACCCTTCTCGGGTAATGGCACCATTAATCCAAACATTGGATCTTGGCCTAAGTGTAGAAAAATCATTCCCTATCCCTACTCCTACCCCCTTTCCCCTCCCCTCCCCCACTTCACCACACACTTCTCTCTTTTTGGTAATTTCCAGTTTCTGAGCGAGTTTCCCTGTCATTACCACTGGTGAACAGCTCCGAATGTTAATGGTTCTGCTTTTGTTACTCCTCGCTTGATTGAAATGTCGCATATAGATTGAGATGTTAGTGCTAACTTGCCACCTGGGAATGTCAAGCTGGGTCTGGAATGAACTTTTCTCACACTTGGATCCAGATGGATCAGCCGGAGATGTTCCCAGGCTGAGCTGGGACCGTTCCAGGGCCATGGGGGGAAGGCGGGCGGGGGATGTTCAAGGTGGAGGCACTTTCTTGCACCAGCCCAAGTGTCTCTCCTGCAACAGCAGCCCTACCCAGCAGAGCCATAGCCCCACCCCATGAAGTCCTTGCCTGTTGGACTGTGGCCCTGGGCACAGGAAAGCATAGCTGGGTTCTCTTTGACCAGCTGCCTGGGGTGGGCCATCTTTCAGAAGTGACCACTGTACCTCTGAGCAGGTCAGGAGAAACATCGCCTGGCCTGGACCATCTCTCTGCCTTTGATCAGATTACCCAACAAGTCAGACAGTGTCCAAGGTGGGTTAAAGAGGGCCATTTGATAATCATCTGTATCCTGACCCAGTTAACCCAGCTAAGGTTGTTACCTAAAAGCCCAACCCAGCTCTCCAACACTTGCAGAACCCAAACTCTGACTGCCTAGCCAAAAACCTCAACTCCCTCTAGGCCTGAAACAGTTGTCCAGGATACCCTCTTAAGGCTAACAACAGGGCTCTTCCAAGCTCCCCTGGTGGGAACCAGGTGGCCTCTTGCAGCTCAGCTTAGGCCTCAGTCATGCTCAGATCAGCTCCACATCATAACCAGGGCCCTGCCCTTCAGCGAGGGCTGTGCCTGCTTCCTGTCTTTGCCTATGGCTGTGATGCTAGCTGCCTACAGCCCCACTGCCAGGTCCCTAGGCTGCCTCCACGCGCCTAGATCGGCAGGTAACGCCTCAGTGTCTCCCAATCCCCTCTGAGACCCTTCTCAATCATCCCGTCTCCCAAGGAACAAACGGCACATTGGCTTTAGTGTCTCCAGAATAATTAGGTGAATTTTAATAACACCTCAATGTGTGTCTCTCCCACTTGGGCCCTTTCCTGGCCTGGAAACCCTTCTGCAGTACCAGGTGCCTTCCCACAGCCTACAGCTCTGTGGCCTGGGCTTCCGCAGCTGGGCCTTCCTTGAGCCACACCTCAGCTTCCTTCCACTCAAGCTGCCCCTGCTGCTCCTAGCCCATGGGGGCTCCTGGCCAGGTTGCCCCTCACCCAGCACTGGACTAGGGTCAGGCCTGAGCCTGCCTGGCCTGGAAAGCAAGCCTTGGGCTCAGCGATTTCTCTGAGAAGCAGAAGGGCTGGAATCACTGTGCTTTTCTACAACTCCACAGAACTGGTGGCATGCCCTCAAAGCCACAGCCACCCACGCTGCCCAGAGGGAGAAGAAAATGAGTCCTACAGGAGATTTGGAGAGCTCCCTGGAGGCGGGACACCAGGAACCCATGCTGTACTCTTGCCAGCCTGGCTCATACACCCCCTGAGTTCTCTTGAAGAAGCCCATAATTCTGGGCATCCTGGGGTAAGCAAAGAAAAGGCAAAGGAGGAGGCAAGAGAATAGGCAGAAAGAACCAGCCACAGCCCCTCCTGGCCCTAAGACACCTTTCCAAGCTGACAGACATCCTCACCGCAATTTTTCCCCCACATCTGCACACATCTGTTCCAGAAGTACCATGGTGTTTGGAAGCCTGTTCTCTCTCAAGATGTTATGGGGGGCCCACTAGTCACACCAGGTCCCTAATGTCATGGGCTGAGGCACCCCTGTTGAAAGCAGTGCCCCCACCCTCGTGGAATCCCCCTTACCGGTCACAACAGGGTATGTCTGCGTGCCTGACACATTGCTGCCCAGCTCTGGGTTGGCGGATGCAGATAGACTCGACTTGACTTCATCAAGCCCAGGGGTCAGGGCTGGGAGGGAGTACTCGTTCCCCTGGGAGGAGAGAGAAAAGCGACAGCTCTCTATTGATGCACACACAGAGAAAGGGCTCGGTGTGCAGATGGGGAGGAGGACCAGAGCCCTCCCAGGTGGGGTGGAAGGAGCCGGCCTGGCAGAGGGAAGGGAGAGCCAGGGGGCGGGCACGGCATATGATGGCGGGTGGGGGTGGACCTGACTTTGTGAAGCTAGAGGTGCGGCCGACACGTTATTGGTGGCTATCCAGCGCCCTTTAAGTTTCTGTAGCATCTCCTGCTTAAGAGGCCCCAAGGGCGGAGTGGCATAGTGGGAACTCCCTGCTGAGAGCTGAGGGGTATTTTAAGGGAGCCTGGGCTGGGAAGCCTTGGCGAGAGGACCAACCATGACGTGATGGCAGAGGCAGTGGTTGGGGGAAGGGCCTAGTGGGGCCTCCAGCCTGGCACTGCTGGGCTGGCTGATCGGGTACGGACGCCCCTTTTTTAAAAACAAACAAAGACAGCCCCACGGGCCCCTCGCTCTCTGCCTGTGCACTGGGGTATGAAATTGGGGAGGGGGAGAGTCCACATGGCTAACAGAAGGGTGGGAGGGGGCCAGTCATTGACTCTGAAAGGGTGTCCTGCCCGAAAACACTCGGGTAATTGCCTTTTTATTGCAGCCACCGCCAAGCCAGACCCCAGAGCTGGGCCGACCAGGAGCCTGCACAAAGCAGGAAAAGTTGCTCTGATTAATATTACGTTAAATTAAAACTGATTTTCTGCTCTTTCGGGTCCGTTTTTTTCCCTTCCGATTCCTGGCCCCCCCAGAGGGCCCCCTCCCCTCCCTGGCTGGACGGGATTGCCTCGTCATTTCCAATTCCTTCTCGTATTGATCTTCCTGTAGAAATCAGTTTTGTAATTAGCTGCAAATTAGGCCTTCTACTGGGGGTGAAGCTGCCCCCTGATTTATCACCAGAGTAATTCGCTGTGATCGGAGAGAAATTAAAATGAACTCAATTAGGCTTCGGATTTGCTTTATGGGCCCTGCTCCGAGTTTCAGGGGGAAAAATGACTGTGCTGGTGTTTAATAGTCTAATGAAAGTAAATAAAGGTTATTCATTGTAATACAGCCGGGGACTCGGGGAGGGTGCACTGGGCCGCCCGCCTCGGCCGGCTCCTCCTTTGTTGGTTTATGGCTCAGGGCACCTTAAAAAGACTTCTGATTTTTGTTTTATGAAGACAAACAGCTTATGGGATAAAAGGACGGGCGGGGAGGAAGGCTAGTGGCTGGGAGCTGTTGGAGTCTCAGAGCGGAACTGTGCTGCGTGGAGCCTGGGAGCTGGCTGGTGAGTGTGTGTGTGCGTGTGTGTGTGTGCGTGTGCAAGCACAGCATATGGTGTTGTGCTGTGGTTGTGGGCCTGGCCTGGGCCGGACCTGTGGGAAGAACGGGTGTGTGGCCCTAGGTTTTCGGGTGAGGCCCTGGGCGCTCTACTGATGTAGGGGTGGAGGTGTGTGCTGGGATGTGTGTGCAGCTGGTGATCTGGAGACAGCCTCTGGCTCCGTGTGGCTGGTGGGGTTCCGCTGTGAGTACTGTGGACTGTCAGTGTTGCGGGAGGGAGCACGTGGGTGTGTAAGCACATGCAAACGTACATGTAAGGAGTTAGTTAGGAGCCATGTTTCTGTACATTGTGTGTTGTGCTGGTGTGGTGTGTGAGTGTCCCATGCTGCGTGTTCTGGACTGTTCTGCATCTGCAGGAAGTGCAGAGTCTGAGTGGTAGGCAGCCAGCCTGCCTGTGATCACATTGGACGGCTGTATTGGGAAAAGTAGGCCAGGACAGGAGGGTGCTGAGACTCAGCAAGAAGAGCTCCACAGGCTTGCACCGACTTGCTGTAGGATCCTGGGAGGACTTGGGGAAGAAACACAGTAAGGGGACGTCCCTGAGTACTCCATGCCAGAGGCGCAGAATGGTAGAGCGTGAAGGGACTTGAAAGATCATTATATCCAAGCCCCTCATTCTACAGATGGAGAAACTGAGGCCCCGAAAGGAGACAAGTCATACTCCAAGGCCATATTCTTGCAGCCAGGTTGCATCATTTCTAACTACTACATACCATAATGATACTTCTTAACTATACTATAATGTCCTTGCAAGAAGAAGTTCACACAGCACACTCCCGATGTCCCATATGTAACACATGCCCAACTGGGCATGCACTTAGCTGAGTTGTGAGCAAGTTCTTGAGAGGCCTTGTTCCGACCAGGTCCTCTCCACCTCTGCGAACAGAAGCGCCTTCCTCACCTGTTCTGATTTGATGTGCTCTGATGCCTGGAAGACGTCGGGATAGGAAGGACGCTCAAAGACTCGATCCAAAGCTTCCAGCTGCTGCTGGGTGAAGGTGTCGGCTCGCAAGTGCTTCCGCAAACTGTCCACACCACTCTGGGAGTCTCCATTGGGGACTGAGCCCTCGGACACATCTGGAGGACACACGGACACCTGGAGCATCAGTGCCAGGCCAACAGAGGCTCAGGAGTGGTATAGTGGGCAAAGGGGTGGTACCTGGCTCTGCCCCTAGGGCTTTGCACCCTTGCTCGGGCCCCTTGCTCCCAGCAACTGGGATGCAGGGGCTAGCCGGAGAGGCTGGCCATGCCTCAGAGACCTGGCTGAGAAAGCCAGTCTCAGAAGCACCTAGGAAGAGAAGGCGAGGGAGGCTGTCAACACACGAGTTGGGGGAAGGACTGGGCAGAGATGGAGCCAGAGGGCCCCAGAGGTCATCTCCCAGGGGGTGTCTCCCCTGGGCCCCCTCTCTCCCTGAGCCAGGGTCTTCAGGGAGGAGCCGGGTAACTCAGACCGGCATCAACCAGCCTGTGGAGAATTGAACTCGGCTCCAAGATGAATTTCAGTTCCACTGATTCCAAGGGTTGAAAATCATCAAATCTCCAAGGCTGAGTGTAACATGGAGCCTGGGTGAAGTAATTAACTTCACCACCGAGGGAGGAGGGGTTCTGAAAGCAACACACAGGCATTTCACTTGGAGTGGCTGGGGCAGAGATGGAGCAGGAGGACAGCAGGTATCATGGGAGCCGTGAAACACCTAGTAGGACAGGGATCATAGACAGGGTCTTTGTGGCTGCTGCTTGGGCCCTGGCCACCCTCTCTGCCTCTATCTCTGACCTGGATTTGGGCTCAGGCCTCAGTCAGAGGCCAGCTCCTTGGCCACCCAGTTTCTCCATTAGTCTCCACAGGGAGTAGAGACTTCCCACACCAAGAAAGGGCCATCGTTGTGCCACACTAGTGCCCTCTTCCTGGGGACATGGCCATGCTCTACCAGGCTTTTTCAGGACTCTTATCCCTACCCGTCAGTCCCTGCCTTCCTGTATCCGGCCTGCTGGCATTTTCAGAGCTTACAGTGGACCAAGTGCTTCCTGTGCTGAGTCCCCCTGGACCTCAGCCCTGCAATCATCCTGGCCCAAAGCTGGGTCCTCCCCAGCCCCAGCTTGGCTGCTTCTTGGCTTCTCTCAGTCCAAGACCAGCTGGGGAGCCTTGGGCCTGGGGCCAGCCGATGCTGCAGGCATTGGGGTGTTCCTGTGGGACTGTTACATATATCAGTTTATAGGTGATTATATGATATGATATAATCAATATAGTGTTATATACAGTAACACTGTACAGTATCATTTGGGAGACCATAGAAAATATTACATATTGATTAACCTCAACCCGCAGTCAGCCTCCCTCACTGGCCTCCCAGATGGAGCGTGAGGGTTTGCCTTCCTCACAGGGCCTCGCCCTTTTCCCTCCACTCTATTCTGGAGTGGGTGGGAAAGCAAAGAAAGTGTGTATGTGTGTGTGTGTGTGAGAGAGAGAGAGAGAGGAGGAAATCAAGACCAGGATCAAGTCTGAGGCAGACAAAAAGCCACAGGGTCTTGATGATAGTCCTGTGGACATAAAACTTGGTTGTATTTATTTATTTATTTTATTGTGTGTGTGTGTGTGTGTGTGTGTGTGTGTGTGTAAAAGCCTCTGGAATAATTTTCAATTTTAGAGGGTGCAATGCACCCCTGTGTGTGAGTTGGGGTGGGGCATATTTATCTTCCCTGGGTGTGTATTTTCTGTGCGTCTGCATCTGTACATATACAAACATCCAGGTAAATAAGTGTGTGTGTGTTTAAGTGACACGGTGAGAATCGGTCTGAAAGAATGTGCGTGTGCGTGTGTGTGTGTGTGTGTGTGTGTGTGTGTGTGTGTTGGCACATGTGTGTCATCACCTGGGAAGTGTGAGTCCACGTCGCCTACATTTCTCCTATGCCTGCTTCTTTTTCCCGGAGGTCCCACCATCCTAGTTCCCCTTCTTTCAGCTATTTGCATGTTCAGTTGTGTCTAATTGTTTCTTCCCGGAGTCCTTCCACCTTTCTGTGAAGCCCTGCTGTCAGGGCTGAGGGAGGCAGGGAGTGTCTTTGTGTGTGCTGATTGCAATGTCACCAAAAGGGTTCTGGGAAGGAAAGTGTGCATTTGTCTGTGAGTATGTGCTCACACATTACTTGTGTGTGTGTGTGCGCGCGTGTGCGGCAAGACTCATACCATGCCTCTTGGTACGTTTGTGTATATGCCTGTGTGTGGCTTAGCTCACCCCATGCCTCTGTGTGTGTGTGTGTGTGTGTGTGTGCATGCGCAGAGGGGCTGAACTGAAGCTTTGTCCTCAGGTCACTGGCTGGAGGAGTCTCTTTTCCTTCATTTATTCAGGGGCCCTTCAGATCTTGACAAATCTGTCACTCTAAATTTGCGAGAGATTATGGTGCTCTCTCCCCAGCCTGCAGAGAGGTGATATATGATATCTGCTGCCCCTATTGATTGCCTGATCTGGTGGCAGAGGCCGGCGAAATGAACTTGAAATGAACATCATGCCTCAACTCATTGTGCGTATAATACACTACTTAATCCCACATTTTTCAGCCGCTATGGAATTCAATTGATCAATCATGTTCCACTGATAGTACTGTTTTAGGGGTTATTGCTGCTCCCTCCACTTGCTGACCTTTTTATTTATTTATTTTTTTGTATACTTGGGCCCTGGTGGTAAGACAGGTTACAGAGGCAGCAAAGGAGAGAGAGGGGGAGGGAGAGGAGGAAAAGGCCAAAGGAAGTCTGCTACCGGAAGAAGTGGCAGTGGGAGGCGTGGAGAAGGGAGGAAGAAAAGGAGGAATGGGGGGTGGAGAGAAGGTGCTAGGGGAGCAGGTGGAAGTGTGCAGAGGACCCTGAGAGAGGCTGGAGGAGGCTTGAGGAGACTTCCGAGAGGAGAAGGAAGGCGAGGAAGAGGCAGGAAGGGCAGCAGAAATGATGACTAGTGAAGGAGCACAGAGAAAGTTGAGGGGCAGGGAGAGGGCACTAGCATTGCTGGTGAAGGCAAGGAGGTAGCCCTGCCCGAACCAGTGAAAGGTCCCACAGGCTCTCATAGGCTCTCTCCAGAGGAGGAGAGTGGTATCCTGAAGAGATCAGCCCAGGAAGGAAGGGAGGAATGAAAGCAAGGAGAAAGGGCAGGAAGGGAGTGAGGCAAGAAGGTTGGGAGAAAACCCTGGGGTCAGAAGGTCCAGTCCAAGGAGGAGAAGCTCAGAGAAGGGGGAAGCACAGAGGGGAGAGGAAAAATAGGAACAGCCTCCCATACTGGAAGCCTGGGGGCACACTGGCTAAGGGAGGACACTTGCCACAGGAATGAAACCAGCTGTTCTGCTTTGGCTGAAGCCTGGGATTCCAGCTAAGGAGAGCAGCCCAGGGCCTGGATGGAGATCAGTTTGGAGGGTAAGAGGAAGAGGAGGAGAAACACAAGACAGTAGAGGAAGAGAGATGGAAAAGAAGAGACCAAGGAAAAAGAGACTAGAAAAGGAAGAGAAATGAAGCAACTGTCAATGCTGATCACCTGGAGGGACCGCCCCAGATGATGGAGGCTCAGGGTGAGGCTTCCCAAGGGGAAAGGGCAGAGGCTCAGAAGTAATAGTAAAGGGAGAGGGTTGGAACTGGGCCACTGCTAGGCCCTGATATTGAAGGGCTGTCCTAAAATAGAGGAGGACGCAGAAGCAGGCCTTGATCCAGGTTTCGGGGTGAGCAGGGAAGGAAAGTGTATGAGTAATTAGATGCTATCCATCCCAAAGAAGTTCTCTACCCGTCAGCCTCCATGTGCCAAGGAGCCTGACGGTGAGCTCCCGTGGTCAGTGGCCACGGCTGATGTATTTATGTAGCTATAGCACCAGGCATAGAGCTGGGTATATAGTAGGTAGTCAATAAATGAGTGATTGAATGAATGAAGGAAGGAAGGAATAAGGTTCTCCTAGGTGTCATTCAAAGCCAGACCCCTGGCAAAAGGCCTCTAGACTAGTCACCTAACTGGCCTGGCAGCCCAGGACACTCAGTCACTGAGAAGGCCAGTCCCACACATCTATAACCCCAGAGGATGTGGGAAGGACCTGCAGAAGTCCCTGGGAAGACTTATACCCTTTCTTCACTCGCCCCTACTTCTGGTCACCTTTTGATAGTATCAACTCAGGTCCATAGGAGGCCCTTCCCTCTCAAAGCAACACCATCCTGCCCACCTCTGGTGCCTCTACCCAAAGGACAGAGAACGCTATGTTCCCAATTAAGTGCAGAACTTAACCCTTACAGCTGCAGAACTGCCATCCAAAGCAGGTGGCCCAGGCTGCTTGAGAACGGGGCCCAGAGACTGCCTCTACATTTGAACTCCCCACACCACAGCCGTGGTCACAGAAAGGAGAGTTGGGATAAAACAGGTCTGTCTGCCAGTGATGGGGAGCTGGTCCTGGAGAAGACCTTTGCTAAATGACAAAATGATGCCCTCGGCCTCACCTCTGTGAGATAACCAACTAATCCCTTGTCAGAGCTCCAAGAAGAGGGCTGGAGTATGGTGGCCGTATGTCCTGGGCTTTCTGGATCAATTCTCATTTCAAATATTCTTTCCCACTCTCAGATCATGTTTATAGATTGAGGTTGAAAATGTGGTCACTGTAGGCATAGTAAGACCCTACAGAGCAAGGAAGGTGCCATATACTAGTCAAACAGTCTCCACATAGGAAGGATTCAGCTCTGTTCTCCTGATGTCCCCTCCCCAACTACCATTCATTAGCTGCCCACAAGTACCAAGAGCTTATGATGTGCCACTGCTGTACTTGACATACTCATTTAGTCCTCACAATAACCATAGGAGATAAGTACTGTTATACCCATTCTAAAGATAAGGAAGCTGAGGCAATGAGAGGTTAAGTAGCTTTTCCAAGGCCACACAGTTAGTAAATCACAGTCAGGATTTGAATTCAGGTCTGTCTGACTCCAGAGTCTTCCCTCTAAACATTTCATTCTGCTACCTGGGTGCCAAACCCAGGGGGCCCAGCTGAGGGCTGCTTGGCCCCATCTGAGATATAGCCTCCCTCCCAGCAACCCCAGTTCTCTGTTCTGCACTCTGCCTAAACTG